AGAGAGAGAGAGAGAGAGAGAGAGAGAGAGAGAGAGAGAGAGAGACAGAGAGAGAGAGAGAGAGAGAGAGACAGAGAGAGACAGAGAGAGAGAGACAGAGAGAGAGTGCTAGAGCAAAAACAGAGAGAGAAAGAGATAGCAAGCGAAAGAGATAGCAAGTGAGAAAAGAGAGTAGAGAAATAGAAGAGAGAGAATATTTAGTACAGAGCGGGAAGCATGTTCGGAATGAATGAAAGTTCATGTCAAATTGTGATCTCAACAAGCAGATATAAAAGTGAGTATGCAATTTAATTAAATTAAATATAATATATAGCCAAAGATCTTGCTAAATATAATAGGAATTGCGGTAATAAGGGGTATTTCATTTAAACCAGAACAGAAGACATCGATTCACAGTCTTGTGAAAGGCATGGCGCACACTTCATAAGAAAGGTTTCTTGCAGTTCTTGCAGGTGCAAAAACATTTCATTATAACAAATATTGCACAGAGTTGGATAAAGTAAGTATGTCATTCTGCCGATGTCAACCAGATGATAAAAAATACACTTTGTTCCCATTCGAATTAGTCGCAAGTAGCTTTGCAACAATGGCATAAGATAAGATTGTCAATGGATGTGAATGACGCAGATAAGATAAGAGACGATTGAGAAATCGGAATAGAAAAAAAGAGTTCTATACCGCGCCGACACTCATCATACGATCGTCATTATAGTTATAGTCATAATTATCATCTGGATGAAACGTGACATTTACAACGAGCTCGGGGATTGTGTGCCGAGGCTGAGGCCGAGGACGTTTGCAATAGACAGAGAAATGTTGTAACAACAAGAAGATCGTGGGCAAGCACCAAAAAAAAAAAAAAATAAGTCAAGAAGAAAAATAACCAAAGGTTAGTTTGGAATTTTTAAATTCTGTAAAGTCATGGTCGAGGTTGAGTCTAAAAGAGCTCAACGCAAAGCCGCAAGAATTTGTCACTTTAATAAGCGCATTTGGGTTCACATTCTTTGAGACTTTTTTTCTTTTTTTTTTCTTTTCTTTTTTGTGGTTAGTATGATTTGAAGTTATTTTTTTTTTTTTACTGTCTAGTTCAAGCAACCTTTGTGCCACACGGCGAAACGTGTTCAAATTTATATGCAGCTTAGCGGCTCGAGGGCTAAAATTATGCACAGCATGCTCATATTTGTATTATTATGGCTTATGAATCCGTATGGCTCGTATAAACCTAATAGAGCCATCAATGGGGCCATAAAACTAGAGCTGCCAGCCAGCCAGCCAGTCGAGTCAAGCTGTCAAGCTCTTCTGGCCAAGTGGCAGCTGCCACGCCCGGCAGCAGCAGCAGCAGCGCAACGGAGCCAAGCCCCGTCTAGTCGATGTGGCGGCACAGTCAAAAAAACAAGAAAAAGAAGAAAAGAAAGCAACCAAAACAGCAGCCCACAGCACTGACAATTGGGTGGCAAACAGCTGACTGACTAACTGACTGACTGACTGTCTGATTGACAGTCTGTTTAAGGCAATTTGGCAGCGTCTTTATCGACTTTTAATTCGCTGCACAATTTGCATATATTTTCAGTCTTAAGACAAAGGCGCTAAAAGGCAGCAATCGATACCAGCAAAAAGGAAGCCCAAAGCGACAACGAGCTGCGAAAATTACTTGTACTTGAGCGGAATTTACAATGCACTTCTTCTTGGACGGGCAATACGCACAGTGGTGCGAGATGTTCAATAAGCTAAACAAAACAAGTATCGATTAACGCTAATCGATAAACGATAATTCAGGCGAGCGAGGTTCGATAAAACAAAACAAAAACAAAGTAGAGGTTCTAGTCGGAAGCTACCGACTAGGGGATACCCTGAACCCTCTTCTTCCAACATCAAATGCATATATATATTCTATTCTAGAAGCTATATGTCAAGTTTGGTGTGTCTAGCTCTTATTATTTACCAAAATTGCCCAAAAAACAGGATATCGATATTGATTTTTATCGATTGCTTGGAAACGGAGCAAGTTATCGGTTATCGGCAACAAACTCGATCTGCGCGGGCACTAGGAGCACCTACATCTAAAATTTCAAGTCTCTAGCTCTTATAGGTTCTGATATCCTTGCGTTCATACATAGGACAGATGGACAGACAGACAGACGGACATGGCTAGATCGACTCGGCTATTGATGCTGATCAAGAATATATATACTTTATGGGGTCGGAGATGCTTCCTTCTGCCTGTTACATACATTTGCCTTTTGCACAAATACAATATACCCTTTTTACCCATTTTCAATGGGTTCAGGGTATAATGAATAAACTTAGTCGATAAATGATAAGTCAGATGCAGCACTTTGCAGTAGCTTATAATATTGCATACAATTTTTATACTATTCTTTAAATATCTTACATCCATGTGTCGCCGATCGATAACTCAGTTACGGTTGAAAAATGTTTATCGATTTAATAATATAATATTTGATCAGTAAGCTACACACTTTTATTGCGCTTCTCTCTCCTCTTGATGTTCTCTTTAAATAAGGCAGTGACAAAATTCCAATTTTTGTATTCCAAAATGGAATACAAATAATATATCTTTAATCATGGAAAATTCCCAAACAATCTTTGTCATTCTTGAGTCAATTTAGATGCATTGATTAATTTGTTCAACTGTTGCAAACGTATTTTGAGTCACTGTGCAATCAGGCTGAAGCTGTTTAGCAGCTGCACAAGCACAATGGACTGTCATTGATATTTTGGGTCTCTCTGAAGCACAGAGTAAGAGTCACTTTGGGTATATGAATCACGCAATGGTGATCCATCGGCGGCCGGCTCTTCATCATATGCAAAACAATTTTCCTTGTTCGCTTTCATTGAGAAACGGCACAAATTAAGCAAATTTATTTTGCCCTCTACTAGAGTAAAAAGTAAAGCCACGTACTATATATATGCTTCCACATTGGAATTGGCGACGTCGCGCAATAGCAAAATATTTTAGCGAATTAAAAGAAAATTGCCTCATCCGACAGCCTCTGTCTGGATATATAATTTGGATAGTTGTAACTATGGAGCTAAGCCAAGTACATTTACAAGGCAAATCAGCCAAACATGAGTCATACTTGACTAAAGCCTAACTAACTAGTGTGTGTGTGTGGGAGGGGGGAGGGGGGAGGGGGTGGGTGTAGCTAAGTATCAATTAAGACAAGGTTTCTCAAATCAAGCAAGTGCATTTCTTTTAAAAGTATTATCAACTAATTGTACAGTTTGTATATTTATTACCTCTTGCTTTTAGTTTGCCTATCGTAGATCATTTTGCATTTTAATAAAACATCTACATTTATCATTAATATACCTTTTTTGCTGTTGGAATTTTGGAGGATTCTGGCCTATAAGAGCTGGCCTAGTAAATTTCTGAGTTTTACTTCCTGGAGGAGTTATGATTCATATGCATGATTCGAGAATTTTTCGAAAATTGCAATTAACTTTAGCATTCCAAAAGGCTGCTTGCAAATTCACTATAATTAACCAAACTATTTATGACTATTTGGTTGAAAAGTTTCTGATAAGCTACATAAATTGTTTGTTGCAGGTAATGCAGAGAAATTGTTTTGGAATTACGTTCAATATTCCATGTGTTCTAAGATATATATATATATACTATTTAACTGGAGACTTTATAGTATATATAACCTATAAACATACATACATATTACAAGCCAGCCAGCGACCTTTGTTTTGTACACAATTTGAACCAGCGAACTTTCTTTTGTACACAATTTGAACCAGCGACCTTTCTTTTCAATCTCAAATTCAACGTCAATTTCTAGTTTTTATATTATTAATTTTATTTAATTTGTTTGTATGTTTAGTTTAGTTTCGTATATGCATACTAAAAAGAGGTCGCTGGTTCAAATCGAGCATTATTATTTAATCATTTTTTATCTAATATGATTTCTCGTATACAAAAAAGCAATAATAACAGATTAAGACAAAGTAAAGTAGGCGGGGAGGGGGAGGTATCTTCGTAAGGGGTATCTAAAAGTCTCGCATGCCGCCCACTTACTTGCAACAGTTCAGCCACAATGTAGGCCCCGTTGCAGTGCCCGTGCTGGCAATTGCCGTTTGAGCCATTCATCAAATGGCAAATTAGAAATTCTTTTGGCGTTGCAGCGCGGCAACCTTTGTAGGCGGCACGTGTCGCCGCCGCCGATGATGACGTTATGACAGCAGCTGCGCCACGGCTGTTGCCAAGTGAGACCTCATCGGACAACTTTGTTGTTGTTGACAGGAAGCGCCACTGCGCCAAGCCAAAGAGAGGGGGAGAGAGAGAGAGGGAGCAAATAATACAGAGGTACCCAAAAAGGGAACAAGATCTATGACAAAAGATGCGCTAAGCACAAACTAAGCATGTCAGGCCGCAGACAACAAGAACGCGATGCCCGGCTAGTTAGAAGAATGCGTAAACTAATCTGAAAAGTGTGCCCAGGAAAGGACAGCAGGCAGCCAAAGGCAAACACAGCCTACATCCGGTGGAAGCACACATATACCCAAAAAGAATGAAAACTTATATGAAAAAATTTAAATGAAGAAACGCGTGCACAGAAAAAAATTAAAAAAAAAAAAAGATAAACAGATGAGACATATGCCAAAGATATCAAATTTATATTAAAATATGTATATATATATAGAGGACAAGAGGGGGAAGATCAAATGCCCTAACAAAGCTGGCAGAAGGAAGGTATATAGACGATATAGTTTTGAAAGTTGGGAGTTGAGTGTAAAATCTTCAGCTTTTTCTACAAAAGCTCTATTTAAGACAAATTGTTGCGATGACAGATTTATCTTTACTGGCAGGTACAATTCGAAGAATCTATATAATCAAAGGTAAGCCCGACTTTTATCATGCTCAACAAGAATGTCAATAAGTCAAGCTATGCCGCTGCACTTGTTCATAGATATATATATATATATAATGCCCAAAAAAGGTAAGTGTATATGGCGCTACTTGGACTTCTCACCTGTCGTGTCCATGTAAACAATTAACGTGGCAAAGACCAGCGCAAACGAGAGCAGGCACAGGAATATGGGCAATAGCTGGCGATACGGTGACGGGCTGAAGCGCGGATCAAGTTTCTTGCTCTTGAAGGAGCTGGCGGCGTTGGCGCCACAGCCCGCTGCAGCAGCGGCCGCAGCATGATGATGATGGTGATGATGATGATGCTGCTGCTGCTGCTGTTGATGCTTCGGCTGGTGGCGACTCGACTGCTGATGTGGCTGGTGTGTGGCTCCGTCTGTTGCTGCTGCTGCTGCTGCTGCTGCCGCCGACTGCTTCGACTGCTTGTGGCAGCAATGCTGATGGCTGTGCTGCAGCTGGAGCTGCAGCTGCAACGGCGCCGTTCGCGTGGGCGTCGACTGCGCCGAGGAGACTGTGCTGGCCGAGGGCGAGCTCAGTACGCTGCTCAGATCGCTAATGGAACCAGTCAGAGCTGTCGCTGAGGCGGCCACCAGTCCGCCGCCTCCCCCTCGGTCCAGCTGTTTGTGTGGCATTTGTCGGCTGTGGCGCTTGTGGCGCAACTGCACATGGTCCGTCTCATCGTAGCCATTGTCTTTGGTTGTTGTTGTTGTTGTTGTTGTTTGCCTCACAATCGGCTGCTGCTGCTGCTGCTGCTGCACGCCAAAGTTGACATCGTCCACATCCTCGCACTCGATGTCATCATCATCGTCCACCGCCGCCAGATTTGTTCGCGTCGGCTGCGTTTTGCGCGTGTGGCACGATTCGCTGCCGCTAGCTGTCCTTGCTGCTGTTGTTGTTGGCTCTGCCTCTGCCTCGGCTGCTGCTGCTGCTGCTGCTTTGGCTGCCGCTGCTGCAGCTGCTAGCGCCGCACAGCTTCTGCTTAGTGTGTACTTTTTGGGCGTGACCTTCCGCCTGCTGCCGCTGATGCTGCCACTTGTGGCGTTTGTGGAGCTGCTCGGCGCTGCCAGCTGCTCAGCGGCCAGCGCTGGATGCGCCGAGTACACTTGCTGTGACATGGTTAACAAAAACCCCTCTCTCTCTCCTTCACTCTCTCTCTCGCGGTTTGCTCTCGCGTCTTCTGCTGCTTGTGGTGCGCCTGCTCCTGCTGCTCCTGCGTGTCCTGCGTTTTAGCTCCTCCGTTGGCTGCTGTGGCTAATGCCGCGTTTTCTGCATCCTGGCAACCACACGACTGGAAAAAAAAAGAGTAGAGAATCCAATTAGTTCTGAGCTGTTAACTTAGTGATGGCGACTTAAGGATACCCTATAAATTAGTTTAAGGAATATCTTTATACATATAACAACAAGTTAATTAGTTATTAGAGATTTACACGCATTTTCCGCTAATTATGGTGAAATTGTACAGACATTAGACATTAGACATTAGACATTAGACATTAGACATTAGACATTAGACATTAGACATTAGACATTAGACATTAGACATTAGACATTAGACATTAGACATTAGACATTAGACATTAGACATTAGACATTAGACATTAGACATTAGACATTAGACATTAGACATTAGACAAGGCTTCAGACTCATTTATATTTTTGAAAAAGAAACTGTTCTCATAAACTTTGAACTTTCATCCGACAAATTTTAATGCATTTTTGCATAAGTTCTTAAAATAAATGAAGAGTCTATCGAATGCAGACACATGTATTCCACCCATTTTTCACAGTTGCAAGTGGAATTTAAATACAAAATAAGAAAAACTTAAATTTGGGCTTCCCAAATATAAGAACATTATTTAAAAATAAAAAAATTATTAAGCTAACTGAATGTATGACTTGTTATACATTTTTTTTATTAACAAATGAATAATCAATAATATAAATAAAGTATATTCGAAATCTTGTGCCAACTCTACATACCCTATCCAAGCTGAAAGACACAGGGCATATGCATATAAAAACTAATTTGGTAAAGTGCATTGAACTGAATTCAAAATTGAGCCTGAGCTCCGCATCCTTCGAGCATGTGTGTGTGTGTGTGTGTGTGTGTGTGTGTGCCATTTGGTAATCTTTTGTTAGCTGTCTGCTCGGCTGCTGTCTGAACTCATTTGCTGTTTTATGAATAGGCAAAACTACATTGAGATGAAGAACAAAAATTTGAACACACACCAAAAGAAGAATACGAAACGCAGCAGCAGAGAAACCGAAAAAAAAAACCAAAAAAAAAAATAAATAAATAAATATGAATATAAAGAAAAACTCAACAAGAGCCCAAGAGCAAAAGTCGTCGCCGGCGACGGCCCAAAAGAAATTGAATACAAACTGCACCACCTGTCAAAAATCGAGCGACGAGCACCACCGCCAGACGGTGGTGCAGAAGGCACAGCAGTCTTTAAGTGTTGGTGAAGGAGGGCCGCGAGACAGGGGGGGGGGGGAGGTAACTGAGACGAAACGAAGCGATTGCTAAAGAATTTCAACAACAACGCGCGGTATTTTGTGAACCAAATTAAAAAAGACACAGAGCCAGCCGAAAGAGAGGGAAGCGAGCAGAAGTACGAGTGGAGGGGGCGGTGGAGGGGGCATTGCAGCGAGGCATGAGAATTATAAATGAAATACATTGACGCGCAGCAGAAGAGGCAAGGCGAGAGCGTGCGAGAGATGAATGGAGAGGAGTTAAGGCAATGGCCAATGGCGCGGAGAGGGTCGAATGGAGGGGAGTTGGAGAGTAGAGTATGTGGAGGAGTAGCAGTAGTTGTTGCTGCTGCCAGTTGTACTCGCTCGCAGTTACACGCGTTGCGGGTACTTGCTGTGCGCCTGCGCAACAGACTCGCTGTGCGAGCGAGACAGCGAATGCCAGAGAGGGGGAGAGGGAGAGGAAGAGGGACAGGGTAAGAGAGCCAAACCGAATCGAGTTCATCAACTGTGGCAGCAGATGTTTTTGTTCAATGTTTGGGCGGCTGTTGCCTGGTCGCGTTTTTTTCTTGTGCTTCTTCTTCTTCTGCTGCTTCTACTTCTACTTTGCTCTCGACTTGCCCCTCTCTGCTTGGCTTCTGTTGTGCTGCTGCTGTTATTCATTCTGCTTCTTCTCTTTGCTGCTGCTGCTGTTGTTGTTGTTGTTCTGCTGCTCGTTTTTGCTTTATGAACCATAACGTCTTCAGCTTGGGTTTTTTTTTCAGCTCCTTGCAGCGGCTGCTTGTGGCAAGGCTGGCCAACGATACCCGTCGCCGTCATCATTTTCAGCCCGCGAGCCATTTGCGCATTCATTTGACCATTACGCATGCGCTCCTGCGCCCAGACCCAGTCCAAGTCCAAGCCGTGTCTCATATACATGCATATATGTTTTGATTTGCTGGAATTTATTGAAACATATAGCCCAATGCCGTTGCCAGACTTGTGATTAAATGCAGTTGTTGCCCCTCCCGCTGCCGCTCCCCCTGCTCCATCTGCTGCTGCTGCTGCCGGATTTAATGATACTCTCTGCAGCAACTTTTCAACGATATGATTCTTGGAATGTGCTCGATCTGAATGAATGCAACATTCGAAAAGATAAACGTTTGCTTGCGACTCTCAGATACAGATACATACAGATACTACCCGTCGTTTCGACTTGTTTGAAATTCTATAGATATTAGAGTCATTAAAATCTTGTTATTTTGTGTTTTAGAAATACAATTTAACAATTTGGTTAATTTTCTTATCAAATTAAAGCCAATTTGTCTTAAAATAAGTGGAATGTAAAAATTGTCCCTGCTCGGGCGCCAACAATTATTTGCTTTCGTCCACACACACTTAACAAAATCGTCTCATGCCGTTAATTATTGACTAAATTTCAACATTTTAGTTAAACTTAAATCAATCCAAACTGTCTTAAAACAAGTTACATGTACATTGTCCCTGCTCGCGCGCCAACTCTTATTTGGCTTAGTCAGCACACACTGTACACAATCGTCTTAAGCCATTTGATAGCAACTTAATTTGTTCATTTTTGTTTAATTTTCTCTCTTTAAGTCAACGGCAGCTTAAAAGAAGTAGCATGTAAGATATGTCTCAGCTCAAGTTGGCTTAAGTCTCTTTACTTAAGAAGAGAAGAAATCTGTGAGATTTGATCTATAAAAGCAGCACAATCCAAAGTCAGTTTTCATGACTTATCCTCATGAATTATAAAGCAATTAAGCTATTATCCCTAATCGGACAAACCTCATCAATGTCATGCTTCTTTACTAACACAACATTATTATGATCGTCGCATGAACTCAGCCGAGATCAATAGACGCCTGTGCTTTCACAATATTTTGGGCTGGCACATCAGCAAAAGCTCGAAAGACTTAATAAAAAAATTCGAAACGAAAACATTTGAATTGTTTACATTAATTTTGTTGTTGCTCGAATTATATGAAACACATTGTAAATTCATTAATTGTTGTGGCGCAAGTCGCGCAATTCAAATGCATTTTCCACAGCGTAAATTTTTCAATGATTCAAAAAGAAGAAGCAGGGGTAAAAGCACACCTTAATGAGCTTTTAATTTAGTAATTAGTTTTGGGGCGCTGCAGCATTCGATTTGTTTTTAGAGATCAGAGCAAATAAAAGTATCTATGCGCCGCGCCACAAGTATCTCATGGATACAAAGCCAACAAATGTGGTGCGCCGTGTGATTTACGGCCATGTCACACAGCGCATAAAATCGATCGATTAAAACTGGAGAGATTCTCGCTGTGAGCGTGTGTGTGTGTGTGCGTGTGTGTGTGTAGCTTTTGGTGTATTTGTATAGCCTTGTGGTTTTTTGTGGCGTCGCTTTCATTGATGTTGAGCTTGTTTCTTGCGCCCCTCTGTTTTTTTTTTTATATATACATTTTATGTCTGCCGACTGTCTGGTGAAAATTGTGCGACATGCGAAAGAGATTTGGTGACAGCGGCGCCAGCTAAAAGAACGACGGTAGCTCGAGAACACGATGATTTACAGCGTCAAATGAAGCGAGAAGTGAGAAAGATAGTTCTATTAAGGGTATTCCGTTGGGCAGGCAAAACATTTCTCGGATAACGTAATAATATGAATCGAACCTGGCATCTGTTTGGGTTTAGCAATAGCTGAAAAGGGAGTCCAGTTTGAGTACTTCTACTTTTACTTTCGATTAATCGATATTTATCTAATATAAGAGTTATCGATACATGTTTGTAAATAAGTATTTATCTTTTCGCATACTCCATGCTCGACTTGGACTTGTACATCCATGTTAAGGCATTAAGTTTACAGCACGAATCGATCAATTATCGATAATATACACGAAATGCACTTTAATCGATATACAGGTACTCGATATATTGCTATCGAAATAGGAAGCATTCCTGAAAGCATTCCCCAACTGTGGTTTGGGTTCATTGCAATTTCAATTTCTGCATTATGTGTGGTGCGACATATTTTGCGCCTCGACTTCCAAGAATTCGCTAAGCAAACAAACAAACAAACAAACAAACAGTCTAGTTTCACAGAGAGGGCGAGAGGCAGGGGCAGAGGCAGACAACATGTTGCCGAGTTGCGGATAGAACCAGCCCAACATGCCACAAGAACAATGTTTTGCGGTTAATGATCGTGCGACGACCATCGTTTCAAGTGTAACAAAAAAAGAGAACAGGTAAGACTGCTCGGGTGGGGAGTACACGACTAGGAGATACCCAAAATCAAGCGTGTTTCCAGAACAGAAACTTAAATATTCCAGATCTGTTCATGCAATTCAAGTGCCTCCGGAATGTGGGCAAAGCGAAGGATATCGATATCGATATTTATCGATTGCATGATGGTTCGGGTTATCCGATATTTTACATATGTTCAATATATCTAGTCTCTAGTCTATAATATCGCAGTTTATTGCGTTCACACAATCGCACAGATGGGCTTTATTTTATGGGCTCAGAGATGCCGCCCTCTGCCTGCTACAAACATGTGCAGAAAACTAGTATACCTTCTCTTGCACACAGGGTATAAAAAGAGTAACAGCAGCAACAGCATACACACAGGTAAACAGAGAAAGAGCGAGAGAGGGAGTGAGGTACGAGATATGGAATGGGAGCAGGGAGTATGAACTTAGAGAACGGCACAAGACATTTTGATAAACATTTACAAACGCACTGAAGCAGAAAGCAGAAACTTCATAGCCACATCCAAACAACAATAACAACAACAACCACCAAAGGCAACAACAACAACAACATCAACGTTGACAGGCAGCC